TTGTGGAAAGAGGTCAGATACACCTGGCAGAACATTTATTTTTAGTTAAAAAATTTAAAATGTGTTAGATTTATTTTATTTTATTTTATTTTGGTGGCTTTGTTTTGCATGTGTGCTTAGAATGTGAATTCTCCCCTGGTTTAGTAACACCTTCCCCCGTCTTTTTGTATGAAATCTGTAACGTGGTATGATAAAAAAAGCTCACTGTAATATGCCCTGGTAAGTGCTATGCATTTGTCTTACTCCCAGATGGCCAAGCCAGGTCTCAATGTAAGCAATGCACGTAACAGCATGTAAGATCTACAGTCAAATCTGTTAAATTTAAAAGCATGACAGCGGTTGAGTAATCCCAGAAGAAAAGCAAGGGGCTCTCTTATGGCTTCTTCTCTTATTTTGAAGACACAGGAAGAAACCACTCTATTCGTGTAAGGGATCTATTTTAGAGAAGTTTTGCTCTTAGGGCATGCTAATCTAAAACCTGGGATCTCCCTTAAAAGCAACCTTTTCTGTCCCAAGGGAAAGAAGAGCAGAAGAAGAGATAGTTCGCTGATAAAAGTTCAAACAGGGGACTTGCAGATGATCAGCCTTCTTGGATGCCAGTGTCTATCTTACAGGAAGGTTTTGACCTCTCAGGTCACAAACATACAAATCCCAAGGCACCTCATTTACCCGTGATGCCGCTATCTGACTGGAAAGGCTGAAGCAGGAGGGAAATACAATGTATCTCTGAGTACCGAAAGTGTTAACATACCATAATGGCATTTTCAAGCAGGCAGACCCATCCCCTCTCCTGCCCCTGCAGGAAAAGGGGCAGGAAAGTTTACATTTTAATTTCCTGAAGTTTCCACTTAGTGTGTTTCATTGCCTGGGTAAGCCAGATGTGCAGTGCCCTGAGATTTACCTCCTCCATTTAGTATATTTCAACAGAAGTTTAAGACAAACTGAGCCACAAATTGCCCATTCTAACTAAACCTCTAGGACATACCTGTATAGAAAAAGAAAATGTCTGAATTATAAACCAACAAGACAGATAAAGCAAAATGGAGTAACAGAAAGCTAAAAGCAAAGCCTCCTCTAACCATGTGATGTTGATTAAATACACAAGACACAGTTGTCCCAAACCAAAGAACATGAAAATACCACATAGATGGAGCTAAATCTCTTGAAGTCATAAGATGTATTTATAACCACAACACTGTGCACACAAATCAGGAAATTTGGCACTAGAACACAATAAGTAAAACTCACTCTGATTCTACAGTCAGCACCGAGTCATCCTGTGGCCAGAATGTCACCTTGGCACTAGCATTTCCAGTCACTATCTGCTATGCTTGTCCCCTCGGCTCCTCTCCTTTGGTGGTATGGGACTATATCACTGGGGTAGGAGTGGAGAGACAGGGAAAAAGAGCCCATGTAAGCAGCTTTCCACTGTTTTGTGCTTGACTGATCTTGCTGCTGCCTCTCAATCACAGCTTAAAGACTGGGGTGAGGATTTTGGCATGGAGCTTCTTGCCCCTGGGATGTCCCTGGGTGGGCAGCACATTCCTCCCACTCTCAGGAAAGACATCAAAGTGGAGAAGATAATTGGTTGCCTGAAGTGGGAAAGTGAGAGGGGAACTCTGGATCGTGCCAGTTCTTTGGTGAGTGACAGCTCAGCTGGTAAGGGCTGTGCATGGAGAGATGCTTAGGGTCGAACACAAACAGCAGCAAGTTTTCAAACACGCTGATTGATACTGCCTAAAGGAAGCGTCAGTTAGCACGAGGGGCCTGAAGGCAAATGATCAGTTTACAAACTCCACTGCAACTCATGAGTAGTTCCTCAGTCTACCTTAAAAAAAAAAAAAAAATAAAAAAAGAAGAAAAAAAAAAAGGATACCCACTTATCCTCCCTAGCATGCATGGGTGCAGTTATTTCTTACCCAGAGAAACAAAGCTTAACAGAAACAAAGCTTAACATTCTTAGAATACTAAGGTCTGACTTTTAAAGAGCTTTTAAGAGTTGGAAGCCACAAAAAAAGATTTAATACCCAAGAAAACTTTAAAAAATATTTTAACCCAAACCTCTCCAAACATAGTCTGATTCTGTCTTTTTTCCCCTTTACTACATTAAACTCAATATGCTGCTGTTCTCAGATCACAGCAAGGAGATGAAAAGCAATTTATTTGCATGCTATGAAATGCCAAGTACAAGCCACAGACTTCAATTTTGCAGAAGTCTTGCAACTTGCATGCAGACTCCTTAAAGTTTGCTAGACTCTGAGAAGATTCATTCTATACAGGATCAGCTTTTAATTCTGCAGTAGCTACCCTTGGATCCCAAAAATAATATATATCATTCTCAGTGCTGCCCAAAATTCCAGAAAATGTTTCAGGGAAAATGCAGAATTGGGAGTGATAGACTAGGACTCCAAAACAGCAATAGGTGTCTTAGAGCTTTATATTGAGCAGACAAGTGAATGGAACACAGTAGCACTGTTTTCAGTTTAGGTGAATGTCCTGAAGTTTACCAGGAAGGCTAGAGGTGAAAAACTTTGTGGAACTGCCAACTTCAAAATCCCCAAATAAGTATATAAATTAAGAATATCTTTAAAATCAACATAAGCAAGTAAGTATAGGAATAACTGAATCAATATGTAAATACTTTCTCAGCCGACAACTGCAAAACCACAAGTTTTATTGAAGTTGTAACAGATGAGAAAAAAATCCAATTTGCAACAAATTTTCTCCACTACCTAATGAAAAGCACAAACTATTGCTCAAAGTATAGAATGCAAAAGAAACAAGAGGTTTAAAAATAAAGGGGAAATGATGATGTTCCCTTCAAAGATAAAGGTAGGAGTTGAGGAGGCATTTACCCAACGTTTAAGTAAAAAATTGGAGAGTCTCAAGACAAGGGTTCTGATTATTATAGCCTCATGCCTACTGTGCCTTGTGTACAGATAGAATTTCATCTGCACAATGAAAGTATGAAGCCTTGTCACCAAGATACAATGGGTCCTCCCACACCCTTTTCAGAATTGTATCCTCCAAAGTAATTGATCAATGGACTTAAAAAACCCTGGTATGATAACATGGTGGTTCACTCACAGCAGGCCACTTCTTTGTTTCACTGAACTAATTTTTGTCCTTCCTGTAGCTGAAGAGACAGGAGGAAATGAATCTTTGCAAGGGGGTCACTTCAACTCATGATAAAGCATGAA